TTCTTACGGTGGAATCGACGAGAGGAATTCGAACACTAGTCGTAGTGTTTGAATTGTTGGAAGAAATGGTCGCATGGGGATGGTAAGTTTAACGAACAGTTTCAAATTTTGCCGCTTGAAGTGAAAGTAGAGTTAATTTGAATTGCTTTCGTATGTATTTCTGACGGTTTTAGATCTACCAGCTTGATTTATATCGGTTACGCTTCATGTTGACAAGTCCCTCAAAATGGCGGCCAAACTTGTAGATTACCGAAAATTAGGTAAGTTCACGGAGTTATAAAGTTCTCGTAAAGGTCGGGCCGCAAAGTTTTTTTCTGTAGTTACCTTCTCTATGGCAACTACTTCCTAGCTATGTTAGTTGGATCAGTTTAGAACGCCTCACTTTTTCAAAAATTTACCTTGAATTTGATCGGTTTTGCCGTGTGTGATTTAGGTGAACCGATAAGGTGTCATTCAAGTCTTCCTGTTTCCTTGATTGAAACGTGATGTTTGCGAAAGTCGCCTCGATAGATAAGATAAAGTTAATATACATGGCTGTGGTATTTGTTTTTTTCTGAGTTCCGTAGTTTTTTGTAAATTGCCCTCCAAAGTTGTATGAAATTAAAGTCTCGAAAAGTGTCACGACAAGCCTTCGCTCGAGTCAAATTTAATTTCCGTAAAACTCCGAAAAGTAAAGAGATCCGATCAAACTGATTGTTGTTTTAGTATAGGTACATGAATGTCTTACAACACACAAGAAACGAGCGAAATCCGTGTCTCAAGCAAAATCGACCGGACCGCTCTTACAGAGACACTCTATTAAGTTTCAAAAAGGCTGATTGGTTCAGATGAGGAGTTTCTAATAAAGCCATCAATAGACGAGTCTTACAGTGTATTAGATCAACTACTTCAGTATAAAGAATATCAATGTTGATAAAAAAGAGAAAATTATCTTGCCGAAATTAAAATCTTCCTGTACATTTCAGATGAAAGGCTTTAAGAAACATTCCGTCCATAGGCTTCGTTTTATGGGCAACTGGGTTTATGATGTCTACTTTTCGGATTGAATGGCAACAGAAGTAAGACTCCAGCAGGTTTAAAGAATTGAAGTGTGTGATCAACAAAAGTGTTTAAATAAGCGTCTATGTTAATAGTCTAAACAAGGTTGTGACGTTCCAAACATGCCTGTATTTTTAAGAAATACACTTTACAAAAGCAATGGAGGACTCTTTGCCGCGTTTCCAAAAGTTCATAGAAACCGGCCAGGGTAAATGATCGTGCATTGAGAGAGTACTCCAAAGTTCTACATTTCCGGTTTAAATAACTCGTTTTATCGTTCTCTCCCCCCCCCCACCCCATTCGAGAGAAAGTAAGGCAATATAATCATAATTCCCCACTTGAATTGCCTCATTATGTATATATTTCCATACGTTTTAAATACAGTCTCCAAAAGTTTGGATTCGTTTCTGTAAATTATGTAAATGAACGCAAAAACTCCAGAACAAAATCGTCTCAAACAAAACAAAGACTAGGAGCCAAAAACACCTTAAAACACAACGCTTGAAATATCGCGTACTGTCTTTGGATATTATATGATCTGGGATCTGCAATATGGTTAGGCGATACACTCCAATCTCTTAATCGAGTTCTGGCTGAGTGTAGACGAGAAGACCCATATGAGAGTTGACTAACGATAGAAACGGTAGAAACATCTGGACGACTAGAATGAAAAGCAATCCATTTTGTCGCTTTTAGAAAACTAAACAGCGATACAGGTGCAACGATTAGTGAGCTTCCTTTCAGTTCTCTTTCTCTCTGAGTGGAAAAAAGGAATCGAGGATGATGACTGAGACAGCCTAACCATCAACTGCACAGATAACTAAGAGAGAAATGAGATAGAATGGGGAACACATGATGGGGTCTCAAAAATAAACACATAACTGCAGCCGCTTGCCATCAGAGGTATTAGAACCACCACTTTGAATGTAGCCGATAACCAAATTATAAATATTTGTTGTTTTTATTGCTACGGGGAAAGGCAGAACGTCGAGTTTTCAAATGGCAAGTATCAAAAAATCGGAATCATCATGAGGAGAGAATAGTATCTTCATCCACCGGAGTTAGAGTTAAATTAAATACAAATGTAGCGGTAGATCAAAAGAAATAAACGTCACCGTGCTATTTTATTTTCTAAAGTTTTATCGGCTGGATCATTTTCCCCGTTTAATATTATATATTCTTAGGTACTAATCAACAGCTTTTAAAAAATTCAACTCTATGATCAAGGAAATAGCTCATCTCTGATAGTATTTTATAGTTTGACTACGATAAAGTAACGGACTTATTCCATATTAACGCAAATCAGGTGTATCCCCCGGTCTCCGTTTCAGACACAACCACTAACTTTTATTTAAATCACCTTACATTGGCCCTTTTTCTTTTGTCACGCAAAAAAGGGTTCGCCGATTTGCTAAGTGTTATTGTAACAACATCGATATAAAGTTAGTTTTTTCATCTTTTTAAATAGGCGATATGTTTGGTGTGAAAGATCCTATCCCTCGTGGGCTCCGTACGTGTGTGCTCTACAAATTTTTATGTGCGGACTCTAATGCCTGCTATGTTGGCGAAACCCCTCGATATAACTTCTCCTGTAAACATCAAAACCTTCCAAAACTGTATTCAAGGTTTCTAAAAACTATTCATCTTCATTTATTTGATGTTCAGGTATTGATTTTCCAGGCGAAGCTGTTGTGCCGGCGGTTTGGGTTCACATAGATACGGAACTTTCTTTGAACTAACGACGTACAGGTTTAGAACAGTTTACCTGTTGTTCCTGTTCAGCTGCACTCAGAACGTCTTACGACATCTAGATATCATATGTCAGACATTTGGAAAGTTAAATTCGAGTCGTGATAGTGGTGTGTCTATTCTCTATCACTATTCCGTGGCGTGCTGTTTTCTCATTCATTCGGAAAACCGCCTTCTCACTCAGTTTTTTAAGGATACGAAGTACTTCGTTATCGGCAAGGTAGATTCTAAGATTTCATTCGTTTACAAACTCTAGTTTTGGCGAGATGAGGTAAGCCGAGTTAAAGTGGGTGGAGAGAGGTTATGGAAAATCCTTTCTAAGGCTATAAAAAATTTTAGAATTTCAGTTTTATTTCCTTCTTTTAATGCTTATGAAACAGTTAATGAATTTGAGACCTCTTGTGAAAAGCCTGTTCCTTCTCAGCCTTCATTACACGTTCGTGATGAGACGATGAAAAGATCTATGTTTCATTACTGAGTACTACATTTTCCAACTTGATCCCCTCTTGCCATCTTTGATATCATACTTACACACATCGACAATCTTTTACAAGTATGTGGAAATTATATAATTTTAACTTCTTTAGATGCTTATAAAACGATTAAGGCAATTGAGATCTCTTTTATAAAGGCTTTTGCTTATTCAGAGTATATGAAAAGAATGTTGTATTGTTGAAAATAGAAGAAATTTATTCCACAAAGAGAGAGGGAGACTGAATCATCAAACTTCTGGATATGTATTGCACCCAAAAAACGGAACATGAACATAAGGCAAAGTAAAAAAGAAAGGTAGCAAATATAATGCTGTTGCTATGGTCACCGACAATCTGAATTGGTGGTTAAGCACGACAAAATTGTCAACTTTATTTCAACATCTGACTTTCGCGGTGCGAATCAAGTTACACCTTGCCGCAAGAGCCACAATAGTTTATGACTTCTCGAGTTTACTCAAACTCCTTTAAAAAGAAAAAAACAAATTACAAATGGACCTCCTATTTCTAACAAATTGTTCAAAGCCAGTTAACTTGCCTGCTTCAATGATATAATTTCTCCCGTAAAAAACAAAAGCTCTCAAAGCTCCATTCAAGAATTTTACAAACTCTTTCTTTGCACTCGTTTGATGTGCTCATGTTGATTCTCTATTCAGCTGTTTTGTGGGTGGATTTACGACGGTACAGGACGTTAATCACATAAACAATCGTGGAGTTTAGACGAATGCCTCTATCTGTAATTCTTGTTGCGCTGCCCTAAAAATGCCGTTTTCATTTCAGCCATTATCTGTCAATCATTCGGAAAAACTAAATTGGAGTTCTAAAAGTGATAAGTTTAGGCTGCATTGCACTCTTCCTCAGCATGCTGCTTTCTTTTCTATTTGAAAACCGCCCTTTCTGCATTTGACTTAAGCTCAGTTCGTTAAAAGGATAGAAACACTTTCGTTTTCAGTGAGGTAAGCTCAAAATATAATTAAGATTCGTTTGCAAATTCTGCTTTCGATGAGATAAGGAAAACTGAATCAATATGGACAGAATTGTGTCATTGATAATCTTAATAGTCGTAACGCGACGAAAAAGATCTTTCTCAAGCTCGTTGCTTATGATATTGACAAGGGACGAAATTAATGCGAAGCGAGAAAAGACTATGACTAAACTTCTGAGGGTAGAAAATAAAACATGAGATATTTTTGCTTTTAAAAATGTTCGTTACATTTCACCGTACCTACGGTTAATTTGTCTTTGAAATTTTCAAGGCGGTAGCAACAATAACCGTATATCAAATAGCGGCACCGAGAAAGGAGCAGGTCTTTCTACTAAGTCTTTCTACTACATTTACGGAAGATCTCTAAGTTTTTTGTTGCCATCTGTCTTTGGAGGCTATAAATTTCCTCCAAGCAATTGAGATCACTAGTGGCAAAGCTTTCCGGTTATTCAGTGAATATCGAAAAAGTTCTATATTATTATATTCGTCTTTTTCAAAAGGAAAAAAAAACGGAATAGGCTGAATGATTAACTTTCCGGATATGAATATCGCATAACGAAACAAGAGGATCAGTTTTAGTTAACAGACGAAAGTTAGTTGGTCAAAGCATGTTAAAAAACATAAAAAAGCAATAACTGACATATTTCTTTATTGAGAATATTGAATTTATATTTCATTTTATCACTAATTGAACTGTTTTCTGTTGTTTTTATAGCAGTTAACAGAACTCAGAGAAAATGCAGCCTTTCGCCACATGTACAGCTTCAGAGTGCATTCCATGGCTTGTGGTCCTCATCATCGAATGTCTGGCCATAGTCATCCTTAATATCATCACCATTGTTGTCTTTGTGAAGAAGAAGCGTCAGCTACAACGGCAGAACACATATTTCATCATCCATCTGGCGATAGTCGATCTCTTAATGGGCGTAGTCTCTGGGCCGCTAATGATTGAAAACAGAATAGCGTGGTTCTGTCCTCTATGGAAGTACAGACAAATGAGTCGTTGGTCCAATAATTTATCGGCTGCATTTGCGCATTTATTCTCGTTCGTTTCCCTAACAAATCTTATTGCTATTTCTTTAGAACGGCTACACGCAACATTTTGTCCATTCAGGCATCGCTTTGTGAGGAAATGGGTTTATGGAGCCATAATTATTGTCATTTGGTTTATAGCTATTGTTAGAGAAGCCGCTCAAATTTTCTTAAGGGAAATTGGTTATTCCAAGATAATTAATACCTACTTGTTTCTCCCATTTTATGGAGTTTCTCTATTTGTTATCTGTGTATCTTACATCCTCATTATTGTCAAAGTGCGATGTAGTCGTCATCCTGAATTCCATTCTAGGTCCAAAAGAGAAAGAAAACTGACGGGTACCGCACTTATCGTCTCACTTGTATCGTTACTTTGTTTTCTACCACTGACAATATATTTAGCACGTATTAGTCTTTCCTTCACTAATTTCGTGCATGTTCATATTCATCTGGCTGTGACAGTTCTATTTTTAGCTAACTCACTTGTAAATCCTATAATTTACGCTCTTCGGATGCCAGGATTCAGAGAAGGTTTACTACAGCTAGTTTACAGGGTCCCAGACCTTTCTAACGCCCCAGCAAACCTGCCACTTCGTAACCTTAGGAGAGCATAGATAGATAGTGGGAAATTTGTCGATAAAGTCTGTTTCTAAATAACTTTAACTTCTTAGTCGAGCAACATGCGTTTTCATCCTATTTTTTGGTTCTCTTTAAAATCTTAACATGAGTAAGAAAAACTACGCAGGTGACATACGAACAAATAATTGATACAATATAGTTTTGCCTTTTAATAAAAGCAGTATACTCAACTTTTTCGACGTTGTGATCATTTGCATGACAGCTTGACCTGAAACAAAATAAATGCGACTTTTAACAAGCCTGAGATGAATAACTTAGAGGGACTTTACCACCCCACTCCCAGCCCCTCCCCAACCCCCATATGTTAACGAGGCTGCGTGAAGACTAAAAAAGTCTTCTACTGTCTAATTGAAAAGCACTTTGCTCAAGGCAAAGCAAAGCAAAAATGTGCGCGAGTGAAAAAGTCAAAATCGTATTTACAGCCCCTTGAATAACCACGGCTATCATATGGACGGGAGTGTTTTAACGGGAACTGAGGGACTCTCATATGTTAACGAGGCTGCGTAAATACTAAAAGTGTTCTACTGCCTAATTGAAAAGCACTCTAGGCAAAGCAAAGCGATGCAAAAATGTGCACACTCGTAATATCAATACGACCACCACATCCCTGAACCGAGTGGCGTATTTTTCTTATGTAACACGTGATGTGATGATATTGAGCCAGAAAACTTAGCCACTGCAACCACATATAAATTGGGAGTCCTATGTTTCAAAAAGGCTGATTAGTTCAAAAAAGGAATTTTCAACAAAGCCATCAATATACGAGTCTTATAGTTCAGTGTATTAGATCAGCTACTTAAGTGCAAAGAATATTAATGTTGATAAAAGAGCAAATTATCTTGCCGAAATTAAAATCTTACTGTACATTTCATAAGAAAGGCATCAAGAAACATTCCATCCAGGCTTCGTTTTACAACTAGGTTTATCATATCTAGGTTTTGGATTGATTTGCAAACAGAAGTAAGACTCCTGCAGTTTTAAAGAGTTGAAGTACGTGATCCATAAAGTGTTTAGATGAGAGTCTATCGTTATGACGTTCCAAACACGTGTGTAGTTTTGAGAAATATACTTTTACAAAAGCAATGGATAACCTTTTCCCGAGTTCCCACAAGTTCACCGAAACTGGCCAGGGTAAATAATCGTGCACTGAGCAAGTACTCCAAAGTTCTGCTTTTCGGGTTTAAATAACTCCTTTTATCATGCTCCCCCAACCCACCCCCACCCATTCGAGAGAAAGTATGGCAATATAATAATAACTCCTCACTTGAATTGCCTCATATGAGAGTTGACTGAGAATAGAAACGGTATAAACATCTAAATGATTAAAATGAATGGTAATGCATTTTGTCGCTTCTAGAAAACTAAACAAAGATACGAGTGCAACGATTAATGGGCTTCCGAAGAGTTTTCTTTCGTTTTGAGTGGAACGAAAAATAATCGACGATGATGATTGAATTTACCTATCATTTTGCCCCTTTAATGTTATATATTCTCATTCACTAACCGACAGCTTTTAAAAAATTCAACTCTATGATCTAGGAAATAGCTCATTTCCGATAATATTTTGCAGTTTGACTATAATAAAGTAAAGGACCTAGTCCAAATTAACGCAATGCAGTACATAATGTCTTATTCATGAAAATAGTTTTTAATTTACGATATGAAATTACAACAAAAAATGAGACTGTCTAATTTATGATTATTCTTTTGAGGCCCTGTCTAGTATGTTTGCTTTACTTATGACCTACCTTCTAGGAAAATAAAGTCTTTAATTAAGAAATTATTACCAACTTCCAGAGACGCAGTCTCTATATAATTACATGTTAAACGATGCACAGTGTTTACCATCGCTATGAACATTTCTGTTCATAAAACCTTTAAAAGAAAATGACTAGTTCAGTGCAGACATAAGAAATGTAAAATCGACTAAAGAAAAATTTTAAAAGGAAAAGCAGATGTTGTGCACCGTAGTAATCAGCATTAAAAAATCTCTGGTATTTCAATTTTGAAATGGTTTCTCGGCCAGTTAAATTGCCTTCTTCAGTGATGTTACTTCTCCTGTAAACATCAAAAGCTTTTAAAACTCCATTCAAGATTTCTAGAAACTACTCATCTCCGTTTATTTGATATTCAGGTATTGATTGTCTTGACTAAGCTGTTTTGCAGGCTGCTTGGGTTACATAGATACGGAACTTTCTTTGAATTAACGACGTACAGGTGTAGTGTACCTCACTTGTTGTTCCTGTTCAGCTGCAGTCAACACGACATTTAGATATCATATGTCAGACATTTGCAAAACTAATTTCGAGTCTTGATAGTGGTGTGTTTATTCTCTTCCTCTGTTCCTTGGTTTGTTGTTTTCTTATTCATTCGAAAAACCACCTTTGATCAATTTTACTTAAGTTAAAGTTAAGTGCTTTGCTATCATTGAGGTATGGTCGTAAGATTTAATTAGCTTACAAACTCTAACTTGGGTGAGATGAGGTAAAGCGAGTTAAAATGGGTGGAGAGAAGTTATGGAAATCCTTTGTAAGCCTAAAATTCCCTCTTGCCATCTCTTTTATCATATTTACGCCCATTGACAATCTTTAACAAGGATGTGGAAAATTTCGGAATTTTAGTTTGTTTCTTTTGATGCTTATGAAAAGATTAATCCTTGAGATCTCTTGTATAAAGGCTTTTGCTTATTCAGAGTATATCAGAAGAATGTTTTACTACTGGAAAAAGAAGAAATTTGTCACAAAAAGAAAGAGAGGGACTGAACTATCAAATTTTTGGATATGTATTTCAGCCAAAAAAGGAACGTGAAGATGAATCAAAGCACAAAAGAAAGGTAGCAAATATAATTCTGTTGCTATGGTCACCGACAATCTGAATTGGTGATTAATCGCGATAAGATTATCAACTCTATTTCTACATCTGATTTCTGCAGTGCGAATCAAGAAAACCTAAAGCTTTCAAACCACCACTCAAGGATTTTAGAAACTATTCATTTCACTCGTTTGATGTGCTTATATTGATTTTCTATATTCAGCTGTTTAGCAGGTGGATTTACGACGATACAGGACTTAAATCACACTAACAATCGTGGAGTTTAGGCAGAGGCTTTTATCTGTAATTCTTGTTTAGCTGCACTAAAAATGTCGTTTTCCTTTCAGCTATTATCTGTCAATCATTCGTAAAAACTAAATCTGAGTTCGAATAGTGATAAGTTTACTTTGCATTGCACTCTTCCTCAGCATGCTACTTTCTTTTCTATTTGAAAACCGCCCTTTCTGCATTTGACTCAAACTCAATTCGATAAAGGATAGAAACACTTTCGTTATCATTGAGGTAAGTTCAAGATATTCTTAATATATGTCTGCAAATTCTACCTTCGGTGAGATGAGCGAAACGGAATCAGTATGAATAGAAATATGTCATTGATATTCTTAATAATCGCAAGGCGAAGAAAAAGATATCTTTCTCTAGCTTGTTGCTTATGATATTGACAGCGGAAGAAATTTCTCCGAAGCGAGAAAGGACAATGATTAAACTTCTGAGTGTGGAAAATAAAACATAACAGATGTTTTTGTTTCAAAAATGTTAGCTATATTTCACCGTACCAATAGCTGATTTGTCTTTGAAATTTTCAAAAACAATACCAAACGTATTTTTGATAACAGCTACGAGAAGAGGAGAAGCTCTTTCTACTGTATTTCTGGCAGATTAGTTATAAAATTTGTGTTGCTATCTTGTTTTGGAGGCCATACATTTCCTTCAAGCAATTAAGATCACTAGTGACCAGCTTTCCGCTGATTCAGTGAACATCGAAAAAGTTCTATATTATTAAATTCGCCTTTATCGAAAGAAAAAGAAAAGGAATAGGCTGAATGATTAAATTTTCAGATATAAATTTCGCATAAAAGAAACACGAGGATCAGTTTAAGTCAATGGACGAAGCTTAGTTGGTCAAAAACCAAAAAAACGTATTCTATTCTATTACTTTCATAGCAGCCAACAGAGCTCAGAGAAAATGTAGCCTCTCTACTCAGCTTCGCAGTGTATTTCATGATTTGTGGTCCTCATCATCGAATGTCTGGCCACAGTCATCCTAAATATCATCACCATTGTTGTTTTTGTGAAGAAGAAGCGTCAGCTACAGCGGCGGAGTACATATTTGATCATCCATCTGGCGATAGTCGATCTCTTGGTGGGCGTAGTCTTTGGGCCGCTACAGACTGAAATAGAAATGTCGCAGTTCTGTCCTCTATGGAATCACAGACAAAAGACTATTTCGTCTCAGCATTTATCTTTTGCATTTGTATATTTATTCTCGTCCACTTCCCTTACAAATCTTATGGCTATTCCGTTAGAACGGCTACACCCCACATTTTGTGCATTCAGGTGTAGCTTTGTGAGGAAATGGGTTTATAGAGCTATAATTATTGTCATTTGGTTAATAACTATTGTTAGAGAGGTCGCTCAAATTTCTTAAAGGGAATTGCTGATGGAGCTGTAATTAATACTTACTTGTATATCCTATTTTATGCAGTTTCTCTTTTTGTTATATGTGTATCTTACATCCTCATTGCTATAAAAGTACGATGTAGTCGTCATCCTCAATTCCATTCTAGGTCCAAAAGAGAAAGAAAACTGACGGGTACTACGCTTATCGTCTCACTTGTATCTTTACTTTGTTTTCCACCAGCGATGATATATGTAGCATGTCTTCGCGTTTCCTTCACTTGTTTCAGAAATTTTCATATTGATATCGCTGTGTTAGTTCTATTTTTAGGTAACTCACTTGTAAATCCTATAATTTATGCTTTTCGGATGCCAGGATTCAGAGAAGGTTTATCAGAGCTATTTTACAGGGTCCCAGACCTTTCTGGCGGCCCAGCAAACCTGCCACTTCGTAATCTTAGGAGAGCTTAGATAAATTGTAAATAACTTTAACTTAGTCGAGCATCATGCATTTCCATCTTAGTTTTTTAAGAAAAACTATGCAGGTGATATACAAACAGATAATTGATACAGAATAATTTTTCCTTTGAATAAAAACAGTATACTAAACTTATTCGACGTTGTGATCATTTGCATGACAGCTTGACTTGAACCAAAATAAAAGCGACTTTTAACAAGCCCGGGATGAATAACTTAGAGGGACTCTTCCACATCCTCCCCCACACCTCAAATGTTAAGGAGGCTGCATGAACACTAAAAAAAAGTCCTCTATTGCCTAATTGAAAAACACTTTGCGCAAAGCAAAGCAATGCATTCAGAATTCCAGAGGGTATACTGGTAAACCGTAATTTTTCCAAAGCTGTGTTTATTGAGCCGGTAAGGTTGAAGTATTATTTTATCAGTGATCCACCCATTCAGGGAGACTTGATAAAAACGAAAAAAAAAATCAAGCAAACAAAAAATAGATAAATAAGAAAAGAAGAAATTCAGGTATCTTAACACTCGCGATCTTCTTTTTAACCCTTGAACTCTCCGATCTGATTGTTAATTCTCCCCTCTACCTGCTACTCATTTCCTTGTAAATTTAGTGCTGAGAATTTTGTGTTAGATCAAGTTAACAACTTCTACCCGGTAAGTTTAAATATTTTCATTAACTGTTTGCTGGATAATGTAGGGATATTATAGGGGGAAGTTTCATGTTCATCACTTTTGGGAGTGAAATGGTTAAGTAAGAAACTTTATTCCGGCTTTAATCGCCTTGATTTTAAATTCAACTTTTGAATCATCGCTAATTTCAAGTAGATCGCGTGACGACATATTTCATTAACAATGAAAAATAATGAATCGTGCGAAATGAGGATAACGAAACTATTTCAACGTTATCAATACAAGTAAAATGCCTTAACATCGCTGTGGATCAGTTATCCAGTCTTTTGTTAGCTCGATAATAAATGCATCGCTGGTATCCATAACAATGAAGTGAACAAAGAACTTAGCGATATGGCATCTGTAGCACTTTCGTTTGCGCGACGAAGTGAAACATTCAAAATGACGTTTAGTTTGTTTACTTTGTTTACATGTAGTGTGAAATTTTAAAGGCTGAAAATTTTTATGAAAAATTCATTCACTTTACCGAAATCAACCCATCACCGTGGATTAACTCACAAGTAGGGTAAAACGAAACAAATATCTCATGCAAAACATAAACTGTTGGAATATTTACGGTGGTTTTATGTCACGGTTATTTTTAAAGCAGGTTTTATTCCATAGCTATTCGAGTTACCCTGCATCGGCGGACGACCCCTTGTCAATTTGTTTTTCTTACTGACAACTAATTACCGTAGTAAAACGATAATTTTAAGGTTTGATTTAACAACCTTTTTTTCATCTTTTGATGTCAAAAGATTTCCTCGACCACTTTATCGTCGCGTTTTATTGCGTTTGGCAGAAAACAAGAGGGAAAAATCATTAAACGAAGCAGAAAATTAGCCAGTGCAACCACATTTAAATTGGGAATCTTGAGTTTCAAAAAGGCTGATTTGTTTAAAAGAGGAATTTCTAGCAAAGCCATCAATACACGAGTCCTATAGTTCAGTGTATTAGATCAGTTACTTCAGTGCAAAGAATATTAATATTTTTATAAAGAGGAAATTATCTTGCCGAAATTAAAATCTTGCCGTTCATTTCACAAGAAAGGCTTCAAGAAACGTTCCTTCTATATGCTTCTTTTTATGGGCACTGGGTCTATGATGTCTACGTTTCGGATTGATTGGCAAGCAGAAGTAAGACTGCCGCAGTTTTAAAGAATTGAAGTGCGTGATCGACAAAAGTGTTTAAATGAGAGTCTATGTTTATAGTCTAAACACGGTTGTGTTGTTATATACACGCCTGTATTTTTTAGAAATATACTTTACAAAAGCAATGGAGGACTCTTTGCCGCGTTTCCAAAAGTTCATAGAAACCGGCCAGGGTGAATGATCGTGCATTGAGAGAGTACTCCAAAGTTCTGCATTTCCGGTTTAAATAACTCCTATTATCGTTCTCCCCCACCCCCCACCCCCTCAACCCATTCGAGAGAAAGTAAGGCAATATAATTATAATTCCTCACTTGAATTGCCTCATTATGTATATATTTCCATACGTTTTAAATACAGTCTCCAAAAGTTTGGATTCGTTTCTGTAAATTATGTAAATGAACGCAAAAACTCCAGAAGAAAATCGTCTCAAACAAAGACTATAGGAGCCAAAAACGCCTCAAAAATATCGCGTAGTGTCTTTGGATATTATATGATCTGGGATCTGCAATATGGTTACACGATACGCTCCAATCTCTGAATCGAGTTCTGGCTGAGCGTAGACGAGAAAACCCATATGAGAGTTCACTAACGATAGAAACGGAAGAAACATCTAAACGACTAAAATAAAAAGCAATGCATTTTGTCGCTTTTAGAAAACTAAATAGCGATACACGTGCGACGATTAGTGAGCTTTCTTTCAGTTTTCTTTCTCTCTGAGTGGAAAAAAACGTTATCGAAGATGATGACTGAAATACCCTAACCAGCAACTGCACAAATGACTAAGAGAGAAATTAGATTAGAAATTAGAATAAACTTATAACTGCAGCTGCTTGCCATCAGAGGTATTAGAACCACCACTTTGAATGTAGCCGATAACCAAATTATAAATATTTGTTGGAAAAAAGGGAAAAGGGGAAAGGCAGAACGTCGAGTTTCCAAATGGCATGTATCAAAAAAATCGGAATCATCATCTACGTTTTTCCACTGGAGTTAGAGTTAAATTAAATACAAATACAGCGGTAGATTAAAAGAAATAAATATCACCGTGCTATTTTATTTTCTAAAGTTTTCTCGGCTGGATCATTTTTTCCACTTTAATATTATATATTCTTAGGTACTAACCAACAGCTTTTAAAAATTTGATCTAGGAAATAGCGCATCTCCAATAGCATTTTGCAGTTTGACCATGTTAAAGTAAAGGACTTAGTCTAAATTAACGCAATTCAGGTGTTTGCTACAATCCATAATTTCGGTTCAGCTGCACTAAAATTAACATACTCTAATTACTTCCTTTATGATCCTGCCTGTGAGATAGTGAACGTGAGGCTGTCAATAAATGTCTTATTCATGGGAATATTTTTAACTTACGATCAGATAACAACTGTATTAGTTTCAAAAAATTAGACCGTCGAATTTATGTTGATACTCTTGAAATTCTGTCCAGTATGTTTGCTTTACTTATGACCTACCTTGCAAGAAAATTAGGCTATTAATTAAGAGATTATTACCAAATGAAAAATCGACTAAAGAAGATTTTTTAAAGGAAAAAAAAAATTTTTGTGGACCATAATAAACAACATTAAAAAAACATGCCTCGTATTTAAATTTTGAAATGTTTGCTAGGCAAGTTAAATTGCCTTCTTCAGTGATATAAATCATCCTGTAGACACCAAGAGGTTTAAAAACTCCTTTCAAGGTTTCTAGAAACTATTCATCATCATTTATTTGATATTCATGTCCAGGTATTGATTCTCCAGACGAAGCTGTTTCGCCGGCGTTTATGGTTACACGTAGATACAGAACTTTCTTTAAATTAACGACGTGTAGGTGTAGAACAGCTTGCCTGTTGTTCCTGTTTAGCTGCACTCAGAACGTCATCCGACATCTAGATATCATATGTCAGACATTTGAAAAACTAATTTCGAGTCTTGATAGTGGTGTGTTAATTCGCTATCTCTATCCCTTGGCTCGTTGTTTTCTTATTCATTCGGAAAACCACCTTTGGTCAAATTCGACTTGACTTGTTTAGAGGATACGAAGTACTTCGTTATCAGTGAGGTATGTTCGTAGGATTTCATTCGTTTAGAAACTCTAGTTTTGGTGAGATGAGGTAAGCGAGTTGAAAATGGGTGGAAAGAAGTTTGCACTCTTCCTCAGCATGCTTCTTTCTTTTCCATTTGAAAACCGCCCTTTCCGCAATTGACTCAAACTTAATCCTTTAAAAGATAGAAACAATTTCGTAATCGGTGAGGTAATTATAAGTTCAAAATATTCTTAAGATTCGCCTGAAAATTCTTCCTTCGATGGGATGAAGAAAACTGAATTCATATGGACGGAAATATGTCATTGATAATCTTAATAATCTTAGCGCCACGAAAAAGATATCTTACTCTAACTTGTTGCCTATGATATTGACAAAGGAAAAAATTTATCCGAAACGAGAAAAAAAATGATTAAACTTCTGGGTGTAGGAAATAAAACATGAGAGATGTTTTTCGTTTTAAAAATGTTAGTTATATTTCACCATACCTACGCTTAATTTGTCTTGTAATTTTCAAGGCCGCGGGTAACAAATCCAACCATATTTCTAATAGCGGCACCGGGAAGAGGAGCAGGTTTTTCTACTCAGTCTTTCTACTATATTTCCGGAAGATCTCTAAATTTTTTGTTGCCATCTGTCTTTGGAGGCTATAAATTTCCTTCAAGCAATTGAGATCGCTAGTGGAAAAGCTTTCCGCTTATTCAGTGAACATCGAAAAGTTCTATAATTATTATTAAATTCGTCTTTATCAAAAGAAAGAAAAGGAATAGGCTATGATGTATATTCATATCTGCATAAAGAAACACAAGGATCAGTTTTAGTTAACAGACGAAACTTAATCAAAGCATATTAAAAAAACGTAAAAATTTGACATATTTCTTTATTGAGAATATTGAATTCATTTTTCATTTTATCTCTAATTCAAATATTTCCTGTTATTTTTAAATTGACAGAGTTTAGAGAAAATGCAGCGTTTGTCCTCAGCTTCAGAGTGTATTCCATGGCTTGTGGTCCTCATCATCGAGTGTCTGGCCATAGTCATCCTTAATATCATCACCATTGTTATCTTTGTGAAGAAGAAGCGTCAGCTACAGCGGCGGAGCACATATTTGATCATCCATCTGGCGATAGTCGATGCCTTAGTGGGCATAGTCTCTGGGCCGCTACAGATTGAAATAGGAATGTCGCAGTTCTGTCCTCTATGGAATTACAGAAGGGAGACTATTTCGTCTCAGCATTTATCTTTTGCATTTGTATATTTATTCTCGTCCACTTCCCTTACAAATCTTACTGCTATTTCCTTAGAACGGCTACACGCCACATTTTGTCCTCTTAGGCATCGCTTTGTGAGCAAATGGGTTTATAGAGCCATAATTATTGTCATTTGGTTAATAACTATTGTTAGAGAGGTCGCTCAAATTTTCTTAAAGGGAATTGCTGATCAAGCTGTAATTAATACTTACTTGTATGTCCTATTTTATGCAGTTTCTCTATTTGTTATCTGTGTATCGTACATCCTCATTGCTATCAAAGTACGATGTAGTCGTCATCCTCAATTCCATTCTAGGTCCAAAAGAGAAAGAAAACTGACGGGTACTGTGCTTATCGTCACACTTGTATCGTTACTTTGTTTTCTACCAGCGATGATATATGTAGCATGTCTTCGCGTTTCCTTCACTTGTTTCAGAAATTTTCATATTGATATGGCTGCGTTAGTTCTATTTTTAGCCAACTCACTTGTAAATCCTATAATATACTCTCTTCGGATGCTAGGATTCAGAGAAGGTTTATTACAGTTAGTTTACAGGGTCCCAGACCTTTCTTGTATCGCCCCAGCAAACCTGCCACTTCGTAACCTTAGAAGAGCATAG